CTAATTCTGCGACATCTTGGATGACTTCGAGTTCGACGTCGACAGGGATTTCCTAGGGGGAAATTTATAAGTTATGTTGAATTCCCCCGAGGTGCAAAGCTTGATGAGAATGCTCTTCCGAGAGGGATATTGACCCATGTCGAGGAGGTTGTGGCTCAAGACGACCAAGCTGATGTCCAGACGAGGGATGAGGACAACAATAATGCATCGGGTAAGGCATAGTGGTAGGGCTACGAGTTGGCCGGTGGGGTCGGGCTGTACTTTTTCTCAGGGGCCTTGTATCTCGACCGTTAGTGCCATTTTTTGAATCATCTCGGCTATTAGTGCCATTTTTTTGAATCATCTCAGCCGTTAGTGCCATTTTTTGAATCCTTTTGTAATTAGTTGTACCCATTCGACCTTAGTTGAATGAAGTTTTCGTTTTACCTTTATTTTCTTTGTTGGAATTTATTCGCAATGGAGTATTCGACTATATTGTAAAACATGCGGGACACATTCTCAATTGAATGGGGTGTTCGGCATACCTCCTCAGCAAGAGGGTGTTCGCTCGTGCAAAGTGGTTGACAAACCTCCTCGACTAGAAGGTACTCAGACTAGGGGAGTATTCGGTAGATAAATTGTGTGGATTCGTAACTGAGTGGAGTAATCAATATACCTCCTCGACAAAAGGGTACTCGGTTGTGCAAAGTGATCGGTAAACCTACTCGGCTAGAGGGTACTCGGACTAGGGGAGTATTCAGTAGATAAACTGTGCAGATTCGTAACTGAATGAAGTAATCGGTATACCTCCTTGACAAGAGGGTACTCGGCCGTGCAAAGTGGTCGACAGACCTCCTCGGCTAGAGGGTACTAGGACTAGGGGAGTATTCGGCAGATAAATTGTGCAGATTTGTAAATGAGTGGAGTAATCGGTATACCTCTTCAATAAGAGGGTACTCAGATGTGCAAAGTGATTGGCAAACCTCCTCAATTGGAGAATGCTCAAGATGATAGTTCTAGGCACAATTTGTCTTCGGCAAGGGTGTGTTGGCATAGGTCTATTTCCCTGACCAATGCTCATCGAGGAAAGTACTCAACTCGGCTGCGTCCTTAACCGAAGAGGGTACTCCCAGGAGAAAGTGAATGCCTGAGTAGGATTCGCGATGTATTTGTGATCAAGAGAGAGCTTGGTTTGGGGGAGTGCTCAGCACATATGTGTCCTCGACCAATGAGTGCCTAGTCGAGGAGAGTGATCGTTGCAGGTGTATCCTCGGGAGGGATATTTGATCGAGAGTATGACATCACCGAGAAAAGTATTCGGGAGGGAGAGTGATTGCCACATGTGCATCCTTAGCTGAGTGAGGTACTCGGGAGGGAAACCTATTGAACTCGATTTCGATTTGTGACTGAGGAGAGTGCTCGGCACAGGTGCATCCTTAACCGAGGAGGGTACTCGGGAAGGAAACCTTCAGTTGGTTGTGACCAAGGAGAGTGCTCGGCACAGGTGCATCCTTAATCGAGGAGGGTACTCGGGAAGAAAACCTATTGAACTCGAGTTGGTTGTGAGCAACGAGAGTGCTCGGCATAGGTACATCCTTAGCTGAGTGGGGCACTCGCGAGGGAAACCTATTGTACTTGAGTTTGATTTGACCAAGGAGAGTGCTCGACACAGGTACGTCCTTAGCTGAGGAGGGTACTCGGGAGGGAAACCTGTTGGGCTCAAATTAGATGTGACCAAGGAGAGTGCTTGGCACAGGTATGTCCTTAGCCAAGATGGGTACTTGGGAGAGAAACCTATTGGGCTCAAATTGGATGTGACCAGGAGAGTGCTCGACACGGGTTCTCGACAAGAGAGTGTTTGTCTGCGGAGAGTACTCGGCAAAGGTAGGCGACCTGTTGGATTCAGGTTGGTTTCATTACCGAGGAGAGAGATCGGATCTACGTGGGCGTGATGTATATAATAATAAAAATAATAATACTATAAACACATGGGCGAAAACATGATATCTTTATAAATTAATTGAGTGCCTCGTTAAAAACCTTACCGACCGAAACCCTCCTTAGGGAAAAAAGAGTCGGTAAAGGAAAATAGTACACTATTATACATCAACTATAATACATCTTCAAGTGAGTAGAATTCCAAGTTCTAGGAATGGGCTCTCCTGAGAGATGTTCTAGCTTGTATGCCCCGTTGTGTAAGTTGTGCCGTATTTTGAAGGGTTCGTCCCAGTTTGGAGCGAGCTTTCCATGTCTCAGATCTTTCCTTGCTTCACTTGTGACTCTCCAGACGAGGTCACCTTCCTGAAACTCTCTTGGTCTCACCTTGGAATCAAATCTCCTTTTATAGCGTTGCTTACATGCTTCGGCTACGATGAGTGCGTGGTCTCGAACCTCTTCCACAATATCTAAGTTTGTACAAAGCTCATTCTCATTGGTGTGTTCAAAGAAGTGAGCTCGACGAAGGGATGGTTCTCCGATCTCTACCGGGAGCATTGCGTTTGATCCGTATACCAAGCGGAACGGGGTTTCCTATGTAGTTGACCGAGGTGTACACCTGTAGGCCCAAAGCACTTCAAGTAGTTGTTCGGCCCAGACGCCCTTAGCCTCTACCAGTCGCTTCTTCAACTCGGTCAAGATCACTTTATTGGCAGATTCAGCTTGGCCATTCATTTGGGGGTGTTTGAATGAAGTGACTTTATGGTGTAGTCCTAGCCCTGCTAAGGACTCATTCAGCTTCTGATCAGTGAATTGGAGGCCATTTTCTGTCACCAAGACTGTCGGGATGCTAAATTGGGTGATGACATTCCTCCATAAATTTTTTTGAATTTGACGGGCTGAATTGTTCACCAAAGGCTCGACTTCAATCCATTTGGTAAACAAGTCCACGGCCATGATGAGGATTTTACATTGCCCTTTTGCCATAAGCAATGGTCCGAGTATATCTGCCCCACAGGTGGCGAAAGGCCATGCTGGGGGAATACAATGTAGCTGCTCAGCATGTTGGTGAATCAAATTGCCATACTTTTGGCATTGCTGACACTTCTTAATGAATGATGAGCAATCTGTGTTCATTGTTGGCCAATTGTAACCGACGCGGATGAGTCTAAAGACGATCATTCGTGCCCTGAAATGCATTCCACAAATTCACTCGTGAACTTCGCGTATTACATAATTGGCCTCTATGTGGTCTAGGCATTTGAAGGGCGGAATGGAGAACCCGCGTCTGTACAATTAATCGACAATAATAACATATCTACTAGATTGTGTCCTCAGTCTTTTCGCCTCCACCGGGTCATCCGATATAATCCCGTGGGTGAGGAATGATTTTATTTTTGCGCACCAATCGGTGGGATTAGAACTATCGGTCGAATCAGCATCATTCCCAATTATTTCTACTTTGATGCTTGGGTGGTTGATTTCTTGTTAGATGATGGTTCTCAGTTGGCTTGGTTTCTTACTTGCAGCCAGTCTAGCCAATTGGTCGGCCCGAGCGTTGTCCTCGCGAGGGATGTGTGCGACTGACACCTCTTGGAACCTTGCCTTCATCCTCTAGTAGGCATGATAGTATTTGATCATGTTGTGATCTCTAACTTGAAAAGCCACCGACCTATTTGGTCACGACTTTAGAATCAGTCAAGCATTTGACTTTCATAGCTCCTATGTCCTTTACTAGTCTCAATCCTACAAGTAAGGCCTCATACTCGGCTTGATTGTTCGAAGCCTTAAACCAGAAACGTAAGGATTGTTCCAAAATCACGCCCCTCGGCCTCTCTAAAATTACTCCTGCTCCACTTCCTTAACAATTCGAGGAGCCGTCGATGTGAAGAGTCCACTAGTGCTCCTCAAAAGTGCCATGCGGATGAAGCTCATTGATGAAATCTGTAAGGAATTGGGCCTTGATCGGCCCCCTCGGCTTGAACACGATATTGAATTGAGACAAAACAACTGACCAAACCATCATTCTTCCAGCTAATTCGGGCTTTCCCAAAACTTTGGAGATCGGGCAATCCGTGTGCACAACGACCTTATGACTTTGGAAATAATGCTTGAGGCACCGAGACGTATGCACTAGGCCAAGTGCAACCTTTTTTATTAGTTGGTAGCAGGTCTCAAGGTCGTGTAGTAATCAGATGATAAAGTACACAGGCAATTGACTGCCCCCCTCTCCTGAACTAAGACCGAACTGATTACCTCTCCGGAGATGGCTAAATACAATTCCAATGTGGTTGAGGTCTCAAGTCTGGTCAGGATTGGTGGCGATGCCAAGGTCATCTTCAGTGTTGCAAAAGCAGTTTCACATGATTCATTCCACAAGAAGGTGGAATTTTTTTGCAAAAGCTTCGTCATGGGACTAATTTTGTCAGCCAAGCGGGGGAGTAATCGGGATAGGGCAACCAACCTTCTAGACAAGAGTTGTAATTATTTAAGGTTGCTCGGGCTCCTCATGTCTAAGATAGCTTTGCACTTGTCTTGGTTGGCCTCGATCCCTCTAGTGGATAACATGAACCCCAAAAATTTCCCTCCTTGAACCCCGAAGGTGCATTTCTCGGGGTTGAGCCTCATGTTATGTTTACGCAACTCACCAGAAATTTCACCCGGGTCGGCTATGTGCTCGGTTATGGAGTTGGACTTGACCACCATGTCATCTACATAAATTTTAATGTTTCTTCCTATTTGCTTGTAAAACACCTTGTCCATTAGCATTTGATAGGTCGCCCCAACATTCTTTAGCCCAAACGAGATAACCTTATAACAGAAGTTTGCGGCCTCGGTGGTGAAGGTTGTTTTCTCTTCATCGTGCGGGTGCATCTTAATTTGATTGTAGCCGGAGTAGGCGTCTAGGAAGCTGAAGACCGAGTGTCCGGGAGCTTTATCGACCAGACGATCAATGTAGGGAAGCAAGTAGGCATCTTTAGGGCAAGCTTTGTTAAGGTCGGTGTAGTCGGTACACATCCTCCATTTCCCATTTGTCTTTTTTACCAAAACCACGTTGGCAAGCCATGTGGTATACGTGATCTCCCTTATGAAGTTAGCTTGCAACAACTTTTGTACCTTTTACTTCGCGACCTTCCTCTTTTTGTCGCCCATTTTTCTTTTCTTTTGGGCAATTGGTCGCGACCTTCCTCTTCTATGCACCCTCTCGTCATTACCCTTTCCCCTGAAAATCCTACCAGCAGTTTAGTATAAGGTGATATGCTTTCCTTTGGGATCCCCATTTGCACGAAGGTATTCCAATATAATATATCCGCTGAACTTCCTTGATCGATTATAGTCTTCTTTAGAATACAATTGTGCACTTCGACAGAAATCACCATGGGATCGTCCTGAATGGGGTCGACCCCGCATAAATTGCGATAAGAGAATGTTATGGGCGGCATCCGGGATGTCTTCGGGTGCTCGAAAATATTTACCAAACGTATGGCTCGAAGGTGCCTTTTCCGTGCCAATGAGATGGCTCCTTCTCCTGCGAAACCTCTTGCTATAATGTTTATCACCTTTCTTGGTTGCTCATTACCTTCCCTAGAATGATCCCTCTGTTCGTCGGAGCAAGAACGACCTCTATGGTCCCTCACGTGCCGTACTTCATGAGGGTGGTAGGACCTTTCTTTCAATACTTGGCGGTGGTCTAACGTCGAAGCGTAGTCTCGACGGTTGACAAAACTTCTCAAGTGACCTTGTTTGATAAGATCCTCCAATTTGTCTTTAAGTGCTGGGCATTCCTCGGGGTAGTGCCCTCTGTTATAGTGGTACCGACACGTCTTCGCTTTGTCCGTCCTAAGAGGGGTGTTCGCCCGCTTCGGTACAATGAGGATCTTGGAGGCTAGAGCCTGCTCCAATATTTTGGTCCTACTCTCATTGAGAGGCATATATGTTGTGTGACGTGGTCCGCGCGAGGGACGAGTACTTAGCTGCTCGATATTCCTCTTTTTAACTGGCTCTCGACCATAGTCTCTTTGACTATAACCTTCGTCAGCCCTAGCCTGATTTCTTGTTTTGGCCAACTCCTCCATTTGCATGTATTTTTCTGCTCGATGTCGGAGATCATTCATGTCTCCAGGCATCTTTTTTGCATAGACTGTTCACAAATGGTCTTGGTTTTAGGGCAGTACTCAACTGATCCAACGCCACGGCTGGGTTAAGGTCGCCGATCTCCATGGCGAATTTGTTGAATCAGTCCATGAAGTTTCTAAGGTTCCTTTTTCTCCTGCCGAATCCCCACTAGCACAAGTGAGGTCATCTTGTACGGTTTGCTAGTGGCAAATTGCAGGGCGAATTGAGATGCCAATTTGCTGAATGAATTAATGGAGGAGCTAGGTAGGCGTGTGAACCAGCTTAACGCCCTACCTTTTAGGGAAGTAGGGAATATACGGCATAACGCGATGTCATCTTGACATCTCTTCGCGCAATAAACGCAAGTCATCATTGAGATTTGGCTAGTCTTCGGTGTTTGGTTGACCTTCATGTCCTGTGGGTTCTTGTTGCATTTAGGGCATTCCATAATGGTACCGCTCCTGTCCGGGTATGCCAAAATGGTGTTCAGATTCGAGGGTGGTTGAGTCAATGTTGAAGGTCCTTTGCGTGTAGCTACCATGTCTTAGTCTTAGTTGGTGAAGTTTAAAGGGGCTAAAAAAGTCTCTTCAGCCCCACGGTGGGCGACAAATGTTCCTGTATTAGGAGACACACCTTGCTAATCACTTGATTATCACAATCTCAGCTTCGGGTCGGGATCCTCACTCTACGTAGTCTGATACGGAGGGGGTGCTTGCAAAAGACACTCTGATGGAGGCCCTGTAGACACCCAATTTCGTCCGGGGGCATACAAACAAAGAAATGGATGTCTATTATCAAGGAAAGGAACTCCCAAAGCAGGAAAACAACAAGACAGGACATTAGAGGGCCGAAAGCCCAAAACAACTGGTTTTAGTAGCCCGGAACGGGCTGTTCCAAAATTGGAACAAGTCGTTCCCTAATCTGGAACGAGTCGTTCCTAAATTGGAACGGGCCGTTCCAAGCCACCAAAAAGGCTTAACGACTCTTGGTTGGAACGGGCCGTTCCAAACCAATCAAAAGGCCTAAAAAAACTTGGTCTAGAACGGGCCGTTCCTAAACCAGAATGGGCCGTTCCAAACTGTTAAAAAGCCCTAAAAACCTAGTTTGGAATGGGCAGTTCTAAGCAAGGGAACGTAGTGTCAATCTCAACTCCGAAACGGGCCGTTCTTAGTTTAGAACGGGCTATTTCCAGGTGCGTGATTAACACTCAACGTTCGGATCCAGAACGGGCCATTCTGGAAACCCTTCTGATGCCTATAAATAGACAGCTTGGGCACAGTTCTCAGGGCCTCAAAAATTTCGTCCAAGACTTCTTAGAGCTCGAAATTTCTCTCTCTCTCCTATTGTATTTCTTGAGTTTTGTGAGGCATATTGTAGTGTGAAAGGTTGCCGCAAAGCACCTAAGATCTCCATAGTTGAAGATCTAATAAAGCTTGCTACGAGGTATTACTCATTAATCTCTTGTTGTATCTTTCTCTTCTTTTATTTCATATATTGCTATAATAAACGCAATCATGTAGATATCTTAGGGTTCATCGTGTAATTTAATTTTCATGTAAATAATCATTAATAACGGGGATTAATTATTTAAACTATTAATTCTTATTACGTTATTTTCATCATAGGGTACCGACTTAGGGCGTTGCAGGGGTGCTTAATACCTTCCCTACATGTAACCGACCCC